AGTGGGTGGTAAGGGAGGGGGTGGGGGCAGGGGGGAGAAATGACCCAAGCTTGTATGCACATATGAATAATAAAACAATAAAAAATAAATAAAAAATATGACCGTGAATAACAATTTTTGCTGTTGTGTACTGACCTTGTAGAGAGGACGTCTGACATCAATAGGACAGTTCTGAATTACTTCATCTACAACTTCTGAGATAGGTTGTGTAAAGTCTGGATTAGCAAACTGAAAAATAAATTTGGATATACAAGAGAGATCTGATTACAACTGATTTAAATATCACAAGAATCAAAAGTTAAGGAAGTTTCTAATTCAGAAGCAAAAGGACTTTTAAAAACTGTAAATTCTGGTTTCTAACAGATTCAAATTAAAGCTTTTGAAACCAATTCCAGAAGATATTCAAATAAAATAAAGATGTTACATATCATTCTATAACTCAAAAACAGTGAACATAGAAAGCCATACAATATTTGGAGATGACAAAAAAAAAAAAACCTAGCTAATTAGGAAAGTCTTCAGATTTTGGAAAACAATATGGCAATAGCTAATAATTTAAATGCATAATTCTACTTACTCCAAAAAAAATTAAAAAGATCTCTGAAGAAACTCCCACATGTGTACTTTGCATAAAGGATGAATGAGGAGATTCTTTATCTTCTTGTTTTAGTTGTACACCAGTGTCCTTTTTTTAGTCCATTTAAAGTCTCGTTTTTCTTATTATTGTTGGTGACTTTGCTATTTAAAATATTCCCCATGCATAATGCTGAAGGTTAGGATGTGTGTGTTATAGAGATAATGCCAGTTAAAACAGCTTTGTTCATACATGACTTGTAGTATTGTTGGCTGTTAGTTCAGTATTAATGAAAGAAAATTCATATACTTATGTATACATATGCCTTTAAAAAGGGGAGGAGAGGAAATAAAAAAGAATCTCTTCTTATTCGCAAAAAAAAAAAAAAAACACCCAGGAATAGTGAAATAAAGTATAAACACAGTAGCCCAGATTTTTGCCATACCTGGAATTTTATTTCAAAAGTTTAAAACTCTGAATGGCTTTGAAATTTTATTTCTTCAAAAAAAAGAAAAAAAAGTCAAACTGCCAACTATAGTCCTCCTAAAACAGTTCTTTCTAGTGTTTGTGACAAACTCAGCAGTTCAAAAACCATTTTTTAAAACTCTTTCATAGATTTTATCCTCAGTGTCAAGTCTAAGCAATTCAGATGCCCATTCATCTAGCCCTAATTTAAAAAGAAAAAAAAAAAAAAAAAGCATCAAATAACAGGGAAATGCATAGGTATCTAAAATTATAGGAAAAAGAATCTTAAAATTCAATTGGAAAGTGACAGTTCATATAATGAAAAGAGAAAAAGAAGGACTAAAAAGTATATAGAACAAGAGAAGAAAAATACACCAAAGAAATTTGGTAAGTAGAAGTGGGGAAGCAGATGAACAAAACCTTGCCATTCTACAAAACACTTACCAAGTGAGCAGTGACATAAAACAAGTCAAGAACTTGCTTAGAAATTGAGGTGGAAGAAAGGCAAAGACCAAGACTAACTGAAAGTATTTCTGAGAGGCTGTTAAAATCTCAGTTCCTCTACAAACAAGCCCATCAAAGGAGAAAACTGGTTATGTCTGTACTCTAAAGAAAAGAATCCTGGACATTTATATATAGCTGAAAGTACTGAAAGCAGTGAGTGAGGGCTGTTAAGTGAAGGTATGAAAATTGCTGATCACATATACACACTAGCCCTCTTTCCAGTTGGCTGCCAACTTTTATCCCTCAGACAGGAGCCATCTCTGAGAATCTGAAAAGACTTAAGCACACGTGGGCATACCCTAAAGAAACCCATGTACAAAGTTCAGATCTCTAGAGAGGTCTCCAGCATCCCCTTCTTAAATGAGTGTCATACATAAGTCTACTATGAAATTTATAGGAACTAAAACCAAAAAACAGCAATCTGAAAGTTAATAAGCAAAAGAAAACTTAAAAAAAAGAAAAAAAACTCCAAAGAACCCTATGACTAATATGCTCAGAGAGCTAGAAGATCTGAAACCATTAAACAGGTACAATGTAGTTTAAAAAAGGGGGGAGGGTATTCAAAAGCAGGGGTTGCAGAAGCTCTTGAGAATTTAAATTGTTGCAATAAATGAAAGACTCAGTAAAGTTGAAGATATAAACTAGAGATTAGAAGAAAAAAAGACAAGAAACAGAATACATCAGAATGCTAGATGATAAAGGAAAGAATTTACAAGCATTTGCAGAAAAAAATAGGTCCTACACATACAAATCAGCAATGTTTACTTCAAGTCATGATTAAAAGCCATGAAGTGAGCTCGTAGAGTGGCTCAAGTGGTAGAGTACCAGCCTATTAAGCATGAGGACCTAAGTTCAAAACCCAGTACCCCAACCCTAAAAAGAGCCAAAAAGTGATGGCTTAAAAATGCTGAAGGAAAGTGTTTCAGACACATTAAGGTATCTTATGATTTTCATCTCCCAGGCACCTTTTTCAGGAACACTACTGGCAGATATCTCCACCCAAAAAAAACTGGAAAGGAAGAGAAAGACACAAGATATAGAAAAAAGGGAATCTTTGCCAAAAGTAATTCCTAGAATGATATGTGAAGAACTGTGGGAGCTCTATACAAAGCACAGAAGCAAGTAGGTTCAGACTGGGACATCATACTCTAGAAATTTAAATTCATGAAAAAACCCTATGCATATGAATATCCTGAGAAGAGATTAACTAGTTGAAAGTTTAGAGGTGAAATAATGATGATTATTTTAAAACTAAGCAAAGAACTTAAGGACTCCCTAGAATACAGAGTATAGGATAAGAATAGCTTTCATGGTTAACTACATGGAGCTCATACTTAAACAAACTTTGGTCATAAAATGTGAGTATTGAATTTTGACCTAACTGAACTTATAATGAAACTATGAGAGTATAAAGGAAATGCAAAGGTACTGTCCGTGGTGTGGACAGGAAAGAAAAGGCAGTCCTTTTCTACAGCTGGATGCCAATACAAAATGCCTACAACTAACTGAAAAACAAACTGAAGATGCAATATAACCAAGAAATTCATAATACAGATGCAATGAACAAAGAATCTCAACTAAGAAAGAGTTCAAAGTGGTTACCTCGAGAAACAGAAAATAGACAAAACATGAAAGGCACACATAAATAACTGATGTTTAAAAACTTCAGAAAAAGAAAAAATGGATTTCTTATAGAATAAATTATTTACAAGAAAAAAGTTAGAGCTGGGTGCTCATGGCTCACACTTGTAATCCTAGCTAATTGGGAGGCTGAGATCAGGAAGACCATCATTCAAGGACAGATCGGGCAAATAGTTCATGAGACCCCCTAGTTCCAAAATAACCAGAGCAAAATGGACTGGAAGTGTGGCTCAAAAGGTAGGGCACCTACTTTGCAAGTGTGAAGCCCTGAGTTCAAACCCCAGCCTCAGCAAAAAAGAAAAACAAATACAGAAAGAAATTATGGAGAGTTAAAAGCTTTAAAGCTTATTTAGAAATTTAAGTGCTGGAATATAGCTCTGTGGCAGAGTGCTTGCCTAGCACATGTGAAGCCCTGGGGTTCAAATGCTAGTAATACAAAATAAATTAATTAAATAATTTAATTAATTGATAAATAATTGGGCTGGCTGGGGATATAGCTCAGTGGTATAATGTTTACCTAGCATGCACAAGACCCTGGATTCTATCTCCAGCACTGAAAAAAATAATGAAATCTGTATATCAGGAAAAGGGAAAAAATAATGTCTGACACGTTATCAAGACAATTTTCATCCAGCAACTATCCTGTTCCTAAGCAATATGACACAATCAAAACATTTTATTTGCATATCAATGTTTCAAGGTTTTAAAGACAGCCAAGACATTCTTAGCCAAAAGTATTCCACTCGAACGCTTCCTCTTTTGTAATCTAGGTATCTTCTATCTTCCATGCTATCATCTATCTTAGGGTCATAATCCTATTCATCTAATTCCTGTCCACAACTCAAGGTTTTAATAATTTCCTCAACATTTAAACTACAACAAAAAAATTACTGGTCCTTAACTCAAGTGAGCTTTCATCCACTTTTACTTCATCTACTCACATACACATGGCCCCACAGGGAAATCTGTCCTAATTTTTAACCATATGTGATAATCACCCCACCCTCTTGAATGCCTAAAGAAAAGGTAAATAAATGTTCAAGGACAAAACAGAAGGCAAAGAAACAATGAACAATACATTTCAATCCTCTTTGGAGGAAAAAGGGGGACTGTTACATCCAAAGTGCTACCAGAGGGGTGGGTATATTAGTAAGAACTGAGTCAATTCAACTTGTAGAATGTTCCAAAGCATAAAAAAATTACACAAGTAAAAGTAAAGCAGGGCTTTAAAAAAGAAAAGGAAAAGGGGGAGAAGAAAACAGAGATACTGTTGAAACTACTTATAGAATGAGATTCTCAGGTTCTCTTCCAGACATTAAATAATCAAGCACTCAGTTTCAACCACAATGACTAAATGAATGAGAGGGAGAAAAGAGAAAAGAAAATAATGCAAATGAGAAAAAAAGGCAAAAGTTTAGGAAAAGCTCAGTTTTAAGAGAAAAAGAATGATACTACACCACTTGCCTCAAAAGTGAAAAACAATCAACAGGTATAATATAAAACTAATGACTTACCTACTAACAATAATCTAACATAAGGACAGGCTGAGGGAACAGTCTAGATAAAAATTAACTAGCCTAAAAGGAGTTTAAAATAACATTAGTGTATTAAGAACAGTAATACAAAACCTGGAGGTGATTACCAAAAGCAATAGCTAAGAAAATACTCTGCAGAATACAAAGGGGTGAATTTGTACTCATTTGGTTATTATTCGTTTGCTACTAATTTACATGCCAATTCATCATGATCTCCAACCCCTGCCTGTATCCTTCATTACCCCTAGGTAATTCAACCTTCTAGCACTCCTTCTTCTATGCTCTAACACTTTAACCTTGGCCTTGACAAAACCTTTTGCTCCTTTCCCACACTGCCAAGAGAAAAGACATTATTATGTGACTAAAGTTTTGAGTACCTAACCTCACCACTGAGGGTAAAGAATGGGTGCCCCACTACTCTTAATATACACTCCACAGTCACCCTCTTAATTCTCCTAAACAGTGATTACCAAAGTCACTCTCTGTAATACCTCAATTGTAAGCTTAATCCCTTCTCCCGACATATCAGCTTTATTCCACTTTATGCACAGGGTGGGGAGAACTAGGATGATGAACTTGTTTAACTACCTACCTACTCCTCCTCTGCCCATCCAGTTCTACATGTTCCTGTACCCATATTACCAACCATATTAACCTCTCTTAAAAATTAAAACAATCCTTAGCCATATTTTTTGTTCCTTTTTTTTTTTTATTGCAGTGGCGGGGTTTGAACTCAGGGCTTCAAGCTTGCTAAGTAGGCACTCTAGCACTTGAGCCACATCACCAGCCCTTTTTGCTCTGGTTATTCTGGAAACAGGGTCTTTGCCTTTCTGTTAAACCCAGCCTTGACCAAGACCCTCCTATTTATACTTCCTACCATAACTGGGATGACAGGTGCATACTACCACACCCAGCTTTTTGTCTGTTGAGATAGTTTCTGGTGAACTTTTTTTGCCCAGACTGGCTTGGAATCACAATTTTCCAGATCTCATTCTGCTTAGCTGGGATGACAGGTGAGTGCCACTGCAACCAACTATTAGTTGAGATGGGGTCTTGCAAACTATTTGCTTGAGTTGGTCTTAAACCAAGATCCTGCAAAAATCAGCCTCTCAAGTAGCCAGGATTACAGGTGTGAGCCACCCCTACCAGCCTCGCTGCCTCTACCACACCATTTCATTGAAATTGCACCTCTAAAATCACCTGAATACTAAAAAACCCAGTATTTAGCATGTTTCCTCTAGTACTACTTCACTGCAGCAAATGGTACTATTCAATTTCCCTCCCTGAAACATTCACTTGTCTCAAATTTTTTTACTATAATTCTGTCTGTAATTGCTAGTGTTCTTTGCAGGTCCCTATTACTCTGCCTGTGCACAAAATACTGTCTTCGCAGGAGCCTCACTCTTCACCTTCTTTCCATTTCACAGTCTTTCCTTGGCCCAGCTTTTTCTTTACACCACATAAGGTGATGACTTTCCCTCTCTATCCTCACTCCAGGACACTCACCCAAGTTCAAAACCCTGAGAACTTAAGTAAGTTTGTTGCTTTGTCTTGTTTTTTGAGAACAGGTTCTTACTATATAGCTCTGTACAGGCTCAAACTCAAGTTCCTTCTGCCTCAGCCAAATGACTGCTGGGATTAGGAGTATACATCAACCCAACTAAGTATCTGTTTTTGAACCTTTTAAGAAGATGCACAATAAACTCATCTGTTTCAACCTCGTCTAGTCCTCCTCAAGATTCTTAATTGTACTGAAATGAAATTCCAATCTATATAAAAAACTAAACCTATAAATAAAACTATTCAGAGTAAATAAATCTCCCTTGTTCTTTGAGCTCACTAAGAGCAAGATGCAATTTTTTCACTTTTAAATACATAATACTTAATCTGAGACCATCAAAATACATTTGCTAACTGAATAAAACACTGAAAAATGTTTTTAATGTTAAATAAGAACGGTAGGCATTCTTATACACTATCAGAATCTTTTATTATTAAAAGCACATTATTTCACTAATTTAATACAGCCCATGATGCTAATATTTCATAAAGATAGAGGACTGTTCTGCTATTAAACACTTTATGACAGTCAAAGATTCTTTATATAATGGTCATTTTAGACTAGAGGGTGTTTCTAGAGCCCTTCTCAAACTTTAAAGGATTATAAATTTTAAGGGCCCCCCTCTTCCCATGCTGTTCCATGATTTCCCCCATAAGCCATAAATAGTCAAGTGACAAAAGTTTCATTCTTCAAAATATATGAAAAATACTGACACTTCAGCAGCCTGTTTTAACAGAAGCAATTTTTTCCTAAAAAAAGATGACTTACTAAAGGAAATTTCCAAGATTAATTCCCTCTGAATATCTTCTAATTGGTTTTCTGCTGAATGTTTCAAACTAATTGCATTTATTAAAAAAAAAAAAAAAATGCTGCTTACCTCTGGATGAAAAAAGATTTCAGGTCCCAAAAATCTCTCATAACCAACATCAATGGAAAACTCTTTCTTTGAGATAGCATTGATTCCAGTATATTGCTTAATCCACTTTGACCCATCAGTGTCATACTTGTTAAATTCTTTTACTAAATCTGGGCAGACGTAACTATAGCGCTCCTTAAAAAGTAAACAAAGCAACAAAAGTAATTTTTTTAGTTTGTTTTAGGGAAAGTACAAAAGGGTGGTATATTATTAGTAAATGAGAATCAAATGTAAAAATGTTCACTAAAGAGTGTTCACAAAATTAGGAAATTATGGCAGAAATCCTCGTTGCAGTATGTGTAGTACAAATAAACAGCTCATTTATACATATTTTCTGACTTCATATGTGAACAGAATTAAGACGTGAAGGACTAAAGAGTCAATCTCTATTATTTTAATGTTATTTCCTAAAACCATTCATTACAGTCACTCAATGTTTTCTATGTCAGTAGTAATGAATCTTGTATTCTAGAAAGGAAAAACCATAAAGTACACACAATGAAAAAACAAATAACAACTGATACAACCACACAAATTAATAGATCCTTAATATCTTCTCTGGAACATAACTGATTCTGATTTTAAGTAAGTGATCAAAGAAAAAAAAAAAAGAATGAAAATATAAATTACTCTATTTTACTCTTATCTCCAAGGCTAAATTATTCCATATTTGGTCATGTGTCCTAAAAAAAAGTTTCCATCAAAAATATAATTTAGTGTGAAGCCCTGAATTCAAACCCAAGTCCCATCAAAAATTAAAAAAAAACACTAAAAATATTATTCAAAAGAGGATTCTGTAATAAAATAATTACTTTTAATTAAAGATATAATCACAAAACTATGCCATTTGTTAGAGCATCCTTGTGTCTGTCTTCTCAAATGTGAAATATGAGACTATACAAAGGGTTAATAATCTTCAACAAGTCCTTGCAAAAAAAAAAAAACAGAGAAAACAAATATAATTCAGAGTAATGAGGGCTGGCAGAGTGGCTCAGTGCTAGGAGAGCCTTCCTAGCAAGCGGGAGACTCTGAGTTGAAACTTCATTGGTGCAAGAAAAAAAAGATTACAACCATTTACAAATGATGAACAAAAAAATTTCTGTTCTTTGCTTCTGAATTTTTGTTCATGTTACTGTTATGCACATGATTTTAATTCTTAACTAAGTTACACTTCTATCACCACTGTTTACCTTTACTGCCTTAGCAGTTTCCAGGGATTGTTCTGGAGGGATTCCTACTTCTCGGTCTCTCAGCAGTTGCTGAATAAAATATGTTATATCTCGTCCTGC